AAGCATTCATGGAGTAGAAAATTTTGAATGCATTCACTAAATAAGCTTTATTTCATAATGTTGTTATTTCATGTGATGTGTTTCAAAACCCTAAATAAAGATCATGACCACAAGGGTCAAATTTCATGTGATCATGTGAGGCCATGTGTCATTTGACTCAAATAACCCTAATGGGCCAAGTTGCTGGTCAAAAATCAAAGTTAAAGTAAAAGAAAGACAAATCAAATTTGAATTCAAATTCAAATTATAAAAGTCCTTTTTGCCCCTTTTGACTAATTCAAAATCCATGTGGAATTTGGGCTTGAGGCAAAAAGCAAAGTTGAAGATTATTTTATAAGGGTCAACTTTGGTATTCAAAGTTTTTCAAGTTTACATATAAAATTTGGAGTAATTTTGAAATGATTCAAATACTTAAATGTACCCCAAATTCAAATTTCAAAATGGGGGCAGAATTTGAAAATATTCCTTGAAGCAAAGTTGTAGAGTTTGAAAAGTTGAGCAACTTTTATTTTTGGAGATTTTCAACTTCTTTAGAATAATTGTGAGTAATTTGCAAATTAAACGCAGTGGCGATTTTGTAAATAATGCAAAAATCAAAATCCAGCCGAGCGCCACCTCTCTGCTTGCTGCCGGCGCCACGCAGCTGCCGCCGCCGAGCGTTTTGTGCCGCTTTCTCGCGTGTTGACACGCAGCAAGCTCCGTGGCGAGCTCGTGCGTGAGCTGTTGACGCCGGGCGCGTTCTCCCCGGCTATAAATAGGAGCACCGCCGCCATCGTCCTTCGTTTTTCTCCTCTGCCCTGCTCCGCCACCACGCAGCTCCGCCGCTCGTCGTAGCCACCGTCAAACCGCGTCAGTCGTGCCCAGCTACACCAAAGCGATTGCCTCGACCTTGCGCTCATCTTCGACTTGCTCGCGTCGCTGGTGTTGGTCGGAATCGCCTGGCGCAACACGTTCTTCCCCGAGACCGGCCGAAGCTCCGCCACCATCGACCTCGCCGTGGCCAGGACGTTCCAGCCCGTCTCCGCCTTCACCAAGCACACCGGCGTGATCGTGGTGAGCTCCTAAGCGTGATGTTCGCTTCGCTTTTGCCTCTATTGCATCGTGACAGTAGTTACGTCGTGCACCGTCGTGCCCGCGCCGCCATGGCCGGCGTGGAGCTCTCTTCGGTTTACTTGCTACCTTTCTGAAGGTTGGGATGGATTCGTGGGGTAGAGTAGGTCATGTAGGTGTGGTCTGCCTCGCCGGAGCATCATCGCCGGCGCGTTTTGGCCGACCGGTGATGGCAGCGCCGCCGTGTTCTGAGTCTGTGTCACTGACGAGCGGGACCGGCTGTTAGTGAGAGAGAGAGAGAATAGTGAGATTTGTTATTTTCTGAAATATGAATAGTGTAGTAACTTTGAAAAATTATAGGAAATTAATTACAGCTCTAAAAATTCTGAAAATTTGTGTGTAGCTTCTGTACATGTTCTATTATGGTTTAAAAATTTGAAACTTGAAATTTGAATAAATTTTTAATGTTCAAAAATTCAGTCAATTAATTGATAAATGCAATTTCCATGATTTTTGTAGGCCACTGTATAATTACAAATATTATGAAATTTGTTTTGGTACACTAATTTGTCATGAGGAAGCTTACATAAAATTTTCAGGTCATTTGGAATAAGTTCATTTTTGGGCTTAATTCCAAATTTATTCAAAAATAAATAAAGGCAAACCCTAAGTGTTTGATTAGTATTGGATCTTGTTTTGGTCATATTTTGTGACTAGTAGGGTTTCAAGATCCATTTGGTCAAATTACATGTGTGGTTCTTGACGGTAGGATTACAAGTTGGTTTTGTTGGCTTGCAACTGTACCGTGAAGGAAAATCATTTGCGGGGTGTTTTTACATTTCATGTACTGTGAAAGCATCATGTTTACATTATCATCATGTTAAAGCATATGTTATCATTTTCGTGTAGAACCCGAGAGTGAAACGATTCTAGTTGAGCAAGTCCTGAAAGAATCCTCGGTTTTCACGGGATTCGATAATTGTGGTACTGATCCGGAACCTGAGATCATCAACGAAGGCAAGCCCCGGTTTATGCATTAAACCATTACCTTGTTACTTTGAAAAGTTTATCACTTATGTTACTTATTACATTAAATTGATTTACTTCAAATGTTGCCTATGTGATGCATTGTCTACCTTGTTAATTGTTTACCTTCCTTGAAGATGTTTTCATTTACAAAGGCGTAGAATGCTTAGAATGCTTATGGTAGGTTTTCAAAGTAAAAGTTTCGATACAATCAAAGATGACATACTGCCCAAAGAAAGAAAGAAGGTAGAATGAACTAGAGACTAGTCGGGTGACTTATCTTGAATGTTGGGTAATGTTGCCGATTATGTCGCTTAAAGGCCACTCATTGTGGATCTTCTAAACGAGACACTTTGTAGTACTGGTCACATACTCCGGTAAGCCTACTTCGGCTAATCCAATACTAAGACGAATGCCCATGCACTGGGAGTGGTGAGATGATGGGAGTAGCGTGTACCCTCGTGGCTTGAATGTGGCCGGATTTGAGGCGTGCTGTGCTCTCGGGTGGCGTGGAGACGGCTTAGTATAGGAGGATTCGGTAGCGAGGTTGATATATGCAAGATTAAGTTCTACATATGTCGTGTGATAAGGAATCCATAGCTGGGACTTGAATCAATTCGAATTGCCGGTGCTCCACGGATATGGAGACTCGATTCATTACAGAAGCAATGCAGGACTGGTGAATTACTAAAACATGAGAAAAAAGAATGGAATGAGAAGGATTGGAACATGGGATATGAACACTTAGTTGGAGATATTGAACTAAAGTACTTAGGGGTAAAACTTGAAACTAGGATCAAGAATAGTAAGCTTTTGGCAAAGAACTTTTGAATCTTTCTACATCCTTACCTTGACCCAACACCTGCATCCCTAAGACCTTCGCCCTTTTTGATCGGGTCAGTCTTGTTAAGTACTTTTGTACTCAGGGTTTGTTAACCCTTATTGCAGGTGAGTCGCATGCGCAGGCTTGTTTTGGTCCCTGCTGCATGTCAGTGTTTGAAGTCGATGACGATGAGGAATGATGAATGGTCTTTGGACAAGGGACTAGTTTGTGTGAAATAAATAATGTTAATGTAATATTATCCCGCTACTATGGTTGTGTGACACTTATGATTATGTAAGTTTGAAACAACTGGTTTGTAATATTAAAACTTAAGTCTTCCGCTTTATAATCTCTGGTATGTATATTAAAAACTGTTGTAATCTGCAATGACTGTGATTGGGATCCTGTTTGGAAAAGATTCGTGGATGATTCGGGTTTCCCGAGGACACCCGACAGACCTGTTAAGTTGTTGGGAACTTGTGTACGCTATCTGAGGTCTGTTGAGACATCAATAGGTGCACGTGGGCCTGATTTCTTAGGAGGTTCTGCCACAGAGGTGCCCCGCGAAGCAGGGCTGCCGGCGGAGTTTCGGCTGACGGAGGTGCACGCGGTGGTGGTGGACGCGGCAATGTAGCTGGCTTGGTGGAGGCGCCTCCGATTGGAGCTGTTCGCGGGAGTTCCCCGCACGACGGCCATGGCGAGTAGCAGGAACAACGCACCTGGCGGCGGCAGGATCCAGCGTCCCAGAGCGGATTTGCCTAGTTCAGGTGAGCCGCGGTCGGAAGAAGTTCGGACGGACGTGGTGGTATGCTCGGTCGAGGCATTGGTGGTCTGCACCCACGGGAACAGTGACGGCGGACCGAGAGCCGGCCATGGCGGCGGACATCAGCAGTTTTGGCGACATGGCGTGGCTCCCGCCTGGAGTTGTTTGCTATCGTGCGCAGGGGTGAGAACATGCTGGCGGAGATGGTGGGGCACACGGCTCGGCAGTGGTACGGTGGTGCCAACGGTGGGGAACGGTGGTGGTGAGAGCTGAGACCAGATCGGCGGCTCCGAGCTTGGCGTCCAGGCACAGGCATAGGCGAGTGGACCAAGCACAGGCAGCCGTCGTCCCAGGTCCCGGCCATCGCGAGTACTCCTATATGTATGCACGCAAACTCGATTGCTCTTGCATGCGCCGTGAGCTCATTGATAGATGATCCATGCACGTACGCACAGTCGCACTGGTCTCCTGGCATTGTCCACAGAGGTGAGGGCGTGAGGCAGCTGCGGCCGCCGCCATGCAGACCCGACGCGGCTGGGCCGTGCGAGGTAGCCACGCGACGTAGGGCATGTGCCACTGCCTATCAGCGTGTCCATGCCCAACTAGGCAGCTGGGTTGAGGAAGAAAGGTGTCTCGACAGAGGAATTCACGACAACAACAACCATCATGACAGAATGCTATTTGAAGGTAACAGTTCGTTCTTTTAGTGGTATTTTACGTGATGGACGTCTTTTGATGGTATTTTTCGAATGTCGTGATCTTTGGATGCTATGAAACCAAATTTTCCTTTTCTTTTTATTTCTTTCTCGCAAATATAGGTAGCATGTTAGAGGCCGGTTTTTACTCCACTACCCAAATATAGAGTAGGAGTCTAAGTCTGCGGAAGATGCTCTTACACCCAAAGGTTAAAAGATATGGCAGCCAATTGATTATTTGAGCTCCAGCTGAGAAGGTTAGACACCTGATATTTGTAGTTCGTTAATAAGCGCTCCCTCTCCCAAAATAAATGCATTTTTAGCTATGTATCTAGATAAACACTTGTCCAGATACATAGTCAGAAATGCATTTATTTTGGGACAGTAATAGCTAAAAAGGATTATGAACAAATTACCACATTAGCCATCTGCATCGCTGTGTATTTACAGTTTTATAACTGGAGTTTCCTCCGTGGAGCACTGGAGATTACATGCTGGCACCTGAATAATAGGCATTCAGGTATAGGCTTGCCTCAACAGTGCGCTGAGCCGCTAGACTTAGCGCAAAATAGCCAAAATTTTAGAGCTGTGGAAAAGTGGGCACGAGTATAGGTCTATAGGAGCCCAGCAGCAGCATGAACAACTAAGCTCGGTACTCGTCACCACAATCCCCAATAATATCCATCAAATTTCTGCCCTTCTTCGATACTTCAGAGATGCTGTTCATGTCCTCTTCATCCAATTCAAGCGAGAATATGGCACTGGTGTCTTTGATGTGTTCAGAGAGTCCCAATCTCACACCGACCATGGAACCTGCAACAGATGTCTGCACCAAACCACAAAAACGACAGTCATATTAACAAGAGTCAAGAATTGAGGAAATGCTACAGATAATAAAGACATGAAAAATCTTGAAGCCAATTTGATGTTATGATGCTAAAGAGGATACCTGGTTCAGTATGTATCTCACAGCAACTGTTGCAATAGAAACACCATGTTTCAGTGACACCTTCTTTAAGGTTTGAAGCAAAGTCTGGAACAGGCTCCAGCCACCCCAAGCATCGACCATCTGTCAAAACCTCAAGAATGAAGATGACATGAAATGGAAAGCAGGCTAAAAGTTCGACCACAACAATACAGCTGCTCACCCTCTTATATTTCTGCAAGGATGGGGTATTTAGAGGAGGACCAGCAAAAGGTATTGATACATTGGTGTCAAGAAACTTTTCAGACAAAAGACCACCCATCACTGTGCCATACCTGCATCAAGCGATAGTGGGTTTAAGCTTTTAAAAGTAAGTTGTACATAGGCACAAAGGCTGAGAGATATGAAGGGACAGAGCAGACGTTATAAGTTTAACTCCAGTTAGCTGGCAAAGCTCTGCCATTCTCTGCTGAGGGCGCATATCAACGATAGAATGTTGAACCTGACAATTGCAACCATCTCTCACTTATCTTAGGGCCATACAATAACAGACATAAAAGATCCTCCATATAGAGGTATATGGATGAATATACCTGGTTGCTCACAACTGGGATTCCATTTTCTAGAATTATTTGCAGTCTGTCTGTATCGAAGTTTGTCAGGGCCACAGTCTTTATCTTGCCTTCAGAATTTTTGGAGCAAAAAGGCATGATGTCGAATTCATTCATACTGAAAAGGCATGGGAGCCTAAAAGATAAGATCTACAATCTGGTATAAGTTTAGAATGTTACCTTCCTCCTTCAGGTCTGTGATGTGCTTTAGTGCATCCAAGTATCCTGGATTTGAGTATTCCCACCTATTTTGTTTGAGGATATAAGGTCAGCAGAATTATAGGTTGTTGCACTAGCCATGTCATAAAATTTTAAAATTCTCTGCACCACTCAGGAGTACCCACAGTATCAAAGTAACACAAGTTGAAATCAACGTGGCATCTCTGAAGTTTTGGGCTTCTAGTACCAAACAAGCAAATTTTTCAAAAGAAGTACTGAATCATCAACATTACTTCCAGTGTCATTCAAATTGATCTCTCATGCACAACTAAGAGCAATGGCAATTGGCAAAGGCGCAACTACGAATCCAGTTACAACACATTTTTATGAATAGTCTTTTTTGGATGATGCAAATATAATGAAATTGTCCTACAAAAGTCAATAGTGGCATTGAAGATGGCACACAAAAAATGCAACCAGATATATGACCGTTATGGTAACTTTATGAGTAAACATACCAGTGGAACTGCAACATGTCCAACGCAGCAACATCCATCCTCTTCCTGGATCTGTTGATGTTATCCTCGACATAACTTCTTGTCATCTTAACCGGAGGTGGTACCCACTTTGTAAGCCTGCACGACTAAGTCAGAATCAAGTAGAGACAGCAGAAACAGCTAAGATACATATAAGTGGCATAGAGACAAGAGACACAAGAAGAATTGCTCGCTCACCCCTTGATTTCTTCAAGAAACTCAGGTGGGCGCTCCCGCCTAACTCTGTTGATGAACATGCCATACAAATCCTCTGCTGGCCCATCTGCCAGGGCAACAATTATACATCAGTGTCAAACTGAAAACAAGCTTAGTGCTCCTACGTTATATGTTAGGATAAAAAAACACGATTCAGCCTACACATCTAACTATAGCAGCCGCAGTTCAGTTCCCATCTAATGTCTAATGAGTGTAAAATTTAACACTTACTGATTGCAGCTAAATGAAGTACATAAAACGTTGCCTATTTCTGAAGATGTAGGAATAGGACATATGAACACACTGTACAAGCTCCTAGCTCAAACAAAATAATTTCACGCCGTTTCATTAGCAGTTTCAGCTACGTGCAGCATTTGCACATCAAATGGTAACACCCAACCGGGATCAGAAAAATGTAACATCGCTAGATATAGCAGCATTTCACCACAGCAAAGAAGAATAACGCATGCACGCTAGGTGTTCGTGCGAATGCCGGGCCATAGAGGGCGCAGAGATATTGGTAGGACAAGGGGGAAGGTTAAGAGCGAGTACAGTGGTCAGCCATATCGAAGGTGGAGAGTCCGGCGTCGGCGTACGCGAGCATGGCGTCAACAGCGGCGTCGCGGTCTATGCGGCCCCACCCTCCGCTGGTCTGCCACATGCCGTTGAGCACCCGGCATATCGCCAGGGAGTCCCCGCGGTTGCTGACGGTCGTCACCCTAGTCGGCCCCGCCGTGGCCGTCGTCTCCGCCGCGGCGGCTCCGGCCGTGCACCTCGCGGGCCTCAGGCGGCGTGGAAGGAGAGGCGGCGCCGCGGCCGCCGGCGGGACGGCGCGCGCTGCGGTGGACGACATGGGACTTCCGTTCGTGCGAGCCGTGCGCGCGCGCCACGGAGACGGAGGCGAAGGGATAAGGCGCTGCTGGCCCAAGGGCCTCGAATTGAGTTTGGCCGTTTGGGGCTTTGGGCTGCTTGGACCTTCCCGCGGGGGAAAAAAAGTCTTGCTGTATTTTTTGCGACAGCTGAGAGAGCCTAATCCACATCCACAACGGGACACGCGGGGCGCCAGGGCCTTACAATAATCTGAACTCCTTACATATGTCAGCCATGTCGAACGTGGTGAGGCCGCCGTCCGCGTACCGGAGCATGGCGTCCACGGCCGCCGCCGGCTGTGCGAGGCCCCACGACGCGCCGCTCACCTGCCACATGCCGTTCACCACCCGGCACACCTCCAGCGCGTCCCCCGCCTTGCTCTGCACCGTCGTCTTCCTCCCGTCCACCGCAGCGGCGCACCGGTGCACTGCCGGACGTCGCGGATGCCAACCCGGCCGCCTCGAGCTCGCGGCCAGCGTTGTTAGCCTAGGCGATGAAGCGAGGCAGCTGGTGCCCGCCGCCATTTCAGTGCCTGCCAGGACGCGAGCGACCGGGCGACAGAGTAATAACGAGAGGGCTATCTTGTGCAAAAACTGTGCTATTTGAACCCTGAGAGGCTGCAGACTTTATTCAGATCTCTCACGTGTGAGTGTAGTCACGTACAGACATCACAATCAGAAAACCGAATATATCATGTAGTCACGTATGCATGGCAACATCTGTAGCAGAATATTGCAACCATGAGTAGAACTCCAGAAGAACCTAAATGATGACACGGAAATGTACATGGAACGGGGAGCGTCTCAGATCTTGCTGGCGAACTGGAGGCCCTCCTCCTTGAGCTCCTCGAGGTTGGCGACTGGCGGCTGGGTTTTTGCCACCTTGGCAATGGCCTTGTTCTCGTCCGGTGACCCGCCTTCCAGGAAGGCGCCCAAGACCTTGCCGTCCTTGATCCAGTACGAGCCGAACTTGGGCTTGCTGGAGGTGGGGTCACTGTCGCCAAACAGGATGGTTTCACCAACGTTGTCACCATAGAATTGCCACCCCAGGTCGAATGATCGGGAGTAGAAGTATGGCAGGTAGTCATACTCTGGAACTGGTTCACCAGACTCTTTGCCCTTGATTGCCTGAAATAAGAGGCGATAAGTTCACACTACTTTGGGGGTTCAGGCATTTCACTCTAGGTGAGAATTTAACACAAAGCCAACTAAGTTCACATAGTGCTTGAATGCGACCGCAGTACTGTATAATTGAGTTTTGATCCAGGTTAAAGGCTTTACGAGCTACAGACACTAAATTGGAAGACTGAAGTCAAGAGATAATGAAGGATAGCCACACCTTTACAGCCTGCTCTGCAGACTTCCTAGAATGGTCAACATGTTCCACTCTCCTCAACTCATTGTACATCTTCAAAGGGAAGGTAGCCACATCACCAATGGCATATACTCCAGGAACACTTGTTTCAAAGAAAGCGTCAGTCTGCATGAAAATTTTGTGCATGTCAGATATTAAGGTATAAACAGAAACAAGCTTGGTAGTTGAGTATTATCAAAAGGAGAACCAGGAGTGAAACCAAAATGGAGAAAAACTGAGGTGAATGCTGTTGCTCACAAAAGAGAACAGTGCATGTGTAAATAAAGCTATTAACAAGGAAACAAAAAAAAAGCATCATCACTGACACATGTTTTATTGAAACAACCCTAGTATTATCTGTGCAGTGACCAGCTCTAAATTGAATTTAGGCAAATCGGAAGCAGACTAACCTTGATTCCACCCTTCTCCTCAGCAACTTGACCTTTGAAGAGAGTAGTCAATGGTCTGCCTCCAACACCGACAACAACAATATCAGCTTCAAGTACTGTGCCATCCTTTAGCTTAACTGCAGTGACCTGTAAGCAAGAAACAAATTAAATCAAGTAAACCTTTGGATCAACAGTTAGAAATTTACAACTGAATTGGGATTTGGAGATTTTACATACATCACCATTGGCATCAGCATCAAAACCAACAGCTAGTGTTCCCTTCAAGATCTTTACACCTTTGTTAGTATAGTAAGCCTCGTAGAAAGCAGCAATATCAGCAGTGAAGAGCCGAGGCACTACAAGAAATGGCAGTAAGCATAGTTACTTTGTTGTGTCAATAGTTCTTGCCACTACAATATCATTTCACAGCATTATCACATGCTAATTGCATGAGCAAAGTGATTTACATTTCGTTGTCGCATAGAATGCGTACTCCCTATGTTAACTTTTATAAGACATACTATTTTGATAAGAGAAATTCAAGCATCATAAGTTTGGATCGAGGATTAATCAAACTCTATGCAAATTTATTGTGCAAAAGTAATATCATAAGATTTGTACTTCAAGGGTACTTTTAATATGTTATTATTAATGATTTTGTAACAATTAGCCCAGTATTATAAAAAAGAAAACTATGTCAAGATATGCCTACAAAGACCTTCCCAACTTAAAATAAGCACTATAAAAATGAAAGAAGGGAGTACAAAAGTATTAGTCGCAATATGTGAATGATGACACTTACTGCACCAAGGTTCAGGAAACACCATAGTGACATCAAAGTCATTGATCTTCAGGGCTGCACTAAGTTCAAGGCCAATATAACCTCCTCCAACAACCACTGCCTTGCCACCCTTCTTTGCCTGGATAGCTGCAACCAGCTTGTCAGCATCATCAATTTCCCTTAGATATAGAATGTTGTTAGAATCAGCCCCTGGTGTGCCAAAATCAGTGAGCTTTATGACCTGGAAAGCAAGTGGAAATAGTTTTCATTATTTATGCCAAAAAAATAGCAGCAACTAGTAATCAGTGAACAAATCTTTAATAGCTTCGGAGAGCAACATTTTGCACCATCATCAACAGATAGTCAGGAAACAAATACATAAGCAGCAGAAGGGAAATAAAGGCGTACCGAGGAGCCAGTAGCAATGAGCAAGATCTCATATGTAAAGTTTGCTCCAGCTGCACTAGTCAGAGTCTTGGTGGAAAGATAAGCTTTGACAATTTCTGTACTAAGGATCAGCTCAATACCTGCCAATAGATGTAATAATATATGTGATCAGTGTCCAAAAGCATAACATAGCAACCATATGAATACTCTTGAAGCACCAAATAGACACTGGACATGCTGTACTCAGGAACCCAGTTTCGATACTAACAAAATTAAATCACCATAGTTACGATTAAGATGGCATTCAGCCAAACAAAAATATCATATTGTAGAACGAGCACCTGATCAGTGAACTAGATATTTGTAAGGGTAACCAGCTAAGGTACCCTCATACAGCGCAAAAACAATGAACTGGGTATATATGATAGCATTATTTACACACTAAGTAGGAAATTTTGAGGTTCCATCAAGTATGCTCCATAAAAGATTGCCCAGCGGAAGTTTAACAGTACAAAATGAATGATGCAACTCTGATGATCACAAATAAAGCATTCAAACATGGTTTAACATGTAAGAAAAAATTGTGAATTGTACCTTTCTCTGAGTACCACTCAGGCAATAGCCTCTCTCCACCACTTCCCACACATACATAAAATCCTGGGAGTCTTGCAGCATCTATTCACAGTAACACATAACAGAACTTTGCATGAGTCAATGTGTTAAGTAGATGGGAGACTAAAGGGAAAGAAAGCATCGCATCAAGGACTTACTCTGAGGAAAGAGGTAACCTTTGCTGAGGGCAGGACGCTCGTAAGGAGCCACCTGTCAAAGAAATTGTGGTTAGAAATGTGTAGCCTACGCATTAAGAAACACGAACGGTTACATAGAACTTGTAAAGGCTAGACTATCATTAGTAGATTGACAAATGCGTTCACAGATTGAGAATACAAGAATTATTATTTTTGCACCCTTTCCTGCAAGGTTGCGACATCCCTGATCCTATGTGTTTGCTCTCACTTATTGACTGCCTACTCAATTCACTGTATTAACCATACATCCCTGATCCTATGTGTTTGCTCTCACTTATTAACTGCCTACTCAATTCACTGTATTAACCATTATGTAGGCAACAAGGCTTGCTTGAGCATTTTATGACAAATCCATCCGTGACTGGTAATAACAATACTAACAAGCGGGAGTTCAGTGGATTGGAAGTCGTGACTATGAAAGTAAAACATGCAAAAGCAACGAGGATAATAAATAAGCAAATATTTCAGCAGAGCGCCATGCCTAGCTATTACAGAGCCGCAGTCCCTTCACCCGTTATCAGTTCATGTACAAGTTGCCAAGTTCAACTGCATCTGTGAGGCGCATTAGGTATCCACTAGTGAAACAATTTGCAGGTGTCAAAACCTCTTTGATCGGTCAACAAGAAAAAAGATTAAACAGGTCTGGCATAAGGCTCAGGCCTCAGGGCGGGGGAGAGAGAAACATACAGCCTCCTTGGAGATGATGGCAAGCTCCCCAGGCTCAACTCCCTGCTTGGCGAACTCCTGCGCCGCGTACCCCTGCAAAATTCACTCGGAAGTTGAGCAAAAACGAGTTCGCATTCGAGATCTAAGAGACGATTCAATGGAATACGAAAAGGGATTGAAGAAATCGCTGGGTACAGGCAAACAAGCATGACACATCAGACACGCACGAAAAAAACAATCTCAGTCAATTTTGAGTGCGAGTAAAGCCATCGATCTCTAGGGAGAGGAGCAAGGAAGGAAGGAAGGAAACTAATCGGAAACTAGGGAGGCGTAACGCAGGGAGGAGCACGGGCACGCACCGCCGCGACGCCGCCGCCGAGGATGACGTACTTGAAGTGCTTCTCCGACGCCATGCCTCCCGCCGAATCGAACTGTCCAGCCCTACTCGGATTCGATCGAACTACAGTGATTGACCAGTGAGTCCGCTCAGCTTCTTCCGGCCTTGTGAGAGATCGGAGAGGACTTGGGGAGGGACTAGGAGGGAGAAGACGAGTGGGAGAGCGGGTGGAGGCGGCTCCAGCGGCGATTATGCAATTTTTTTTTGCAAAATGAGTACCGTAGCATTTTCGTTGTTGTTTGATAATTAATGTTTAATTATAGTTTAATTAGGCTTAAAATATTTGTCTTATGGATTTCGTCTAAACTGTATAATTAGTTTTATTTTTTATTTATATTTAATGCTTCATACATACGTCTAAAGATTCAATGTGACGAAAAATCTTGAAAAATTTGGCAAAACGAAGTGGAACTAAACAGGGCCTAATAGCAAGCACCCGCTCTAGCTTGGTCGAACGACTGCCACGCGGGCCCGAGAAGCTCCAGGCCCAGATGTCGGTTCGTCTATCCAGCAAGGTAGGAACTAGGAAGCGAACGCGGAAGGTCCATGCGCGCCTCTGCCGTTGTGGTGGCTGCCCATTGGCTGATTTCCTCCAGGTAGGCGGAACACGTGGCGTGCCTCACGTCTTTGGGATCCGTGAATCGTGATGTATCTCGAGCGATCAATTTAGGGGTTGGTTAGATACAACAGCCATGCCAAAAGTTTTGGCACCAAACCTTTTAGTGCAAAAGTTTTGGCATTC